CATTGGAACTCCTGGGGAGCTTCCAAAAACAGTAGACTGTTTGAAGAAAGAATTTGAAATGAAAGATCTTGGAAAGACAAAATTTTGTCTTGGTCTACAAATTGAGTATATGAAAGATGGAATATTTGTCCATCAATCAACATACACCGAAAAGATTTTAAAGCGATTCTATATGGATAAAGCACATCCATTGAGTACCCCGATGGTTGTGAGATCACTTGATATAAAGAAAGATCCATTCCGACCTCATGAAAATGATGAAGAGCTTCTTGGTGCCGAAGTACCATATCTTAGTGCAATTGGGGCATTAATGTATCTTGCCAATAATTCCCGACCAGATATAGCTTTCTCAGTAAGCTTATTGGCAAGATTTAGTACTTCGCCAACACAAAGACACTGGAATGGTATTAAACATATATTCAGATACCTCCAAGGGACCATTGATATGGGTTTATTTTATTCAAATGAATCCAAGCCATCATTGATTGGTTATGCAGATGCAGGATATTTGTCTGATCCACACAAAGGTCGATCTCAGACATGCTATTTATTTACAAGTGGAGGTACAGCCATATCATGGCATTCGACAAAACAAACTATGGTTGCTACTTCTTCAAATCATGCAGAGATAATAGCCATTCACGAAGCAAGTCGAGAATGTGTTTGGTTAAGATCTATAACTCAACACATTCAGCAAACATATGGTCTTTCTTCGAAAGAGAATATTCCAACAATATTGTATGAAGACAATGTTGCATGCATAGCTCAATTGAAAGGACGATATATCAAAGGAGATAGAACAAAACTCATTTCACCGAAATTCTTTTTCACGCATGATCTTCAGAAGAATGGTGAAATAAATGTACAACAAGTTCGTTCAAGTGATAATTTGGCTGATATGTTCACTAAGGCGTTACCAATCTCAATATTTGAAAAGCTGATATATAAGATTGGGATGTGTCGTCTTCGAGACATTAAGTGATTTTTCATTAGGGGGAGTAACTACACGCTGCACTTTTTTTCTTAACTAAGGTTTTGTCCCACTGGGTTTTCCTGGTAAGGTTTTTAATGAGGCAGCAAGCAATTCATATTATAAATAACTATGTACATCCCAATATTTTTTTGTAAGTTTTTAATGAGACACATTATCTTACATGGACATCCAAGGGGGAGTGTTATGAATAGTTTGTACATTGGATACCACATTGGATGCTACATTGGATGCCCATGTTGTGAATAACTTAAAGATTAAATTTCCTACTTTATGTCTACCATCTTTACTTTTTATGCCTATAAAAGGTCATGTACTTGCAATGAAAAAATACACCAAAGTGAAAGAAGAAAACACTTCTCCCTTCTTTCTATCTCTTTTTATTTACATTTTACTACATTACTTTTATTTTATTAAAGTTTTTATTTTTTAGAAGTACACCAACCGAAGTTGGTCGATTATTTTAGCGCCAAAATCCGGGAACTATAATTTTCCTACCAATCTTTTAACACACCGACCAATATTAGTCAATTAACTAGTCAAGCTTTGACCAAAGATGGCCAGACTTACATTTTGCATAGATAACTAAAAAGAATTTAAATAAATTTAGATTTTATCGATCGATTTCTGTTGGACAGTTAAACTTGAAGAAATTCTTCCAGTTTTCGACCACTTTTGATCGATATTGAAGTTAAAACTTTTGGCAAACACAAATAATGTAACGACCCGAACGGCCATTTTATATATTTGAGCCATGTTCCCTTAGTCGTTGCTTTCCGTATGTGTATTTGCCATTATGTGACTTGTGAGGATGGTTAGTTTTATTTCGGGGAGGTTTTGGATTGATTTGGGACACCTAGTTCCTAATTTGGAAGCTTAAGTTATGAGAGTTGACTAAAGTTTAATTTTTGTGAAAACAATCCCGGAATGGTATTTTGATGGTTCCAATAGGTTCATATGATAATTTTGAATTTGGGCATATGCCTGGAATTGAATTCGGAGGTTCCTAGGATGATTTAGCTCTTTTTGTCGGCCGAAAGTTGACAATTTAAAGGTTTAGAAATTTCATAGTTTGACCATGGGTTGACTTTGTGGCTATCGGGTTCGGATTGTTGTTCTAGGATTTGAAATATTTCTGTTTTGTCGTTTAGAACTTGTTTGCAGTTTGTTGTCATTCCGAGCTTGTTTGGTAGGAATCAGACGCTTGGTTATGAATATTGAGTTCTTGAGTTTCATAGCTTGCATAAAGCGTTTTGGCATTCTATTCGTATTTTTTATGTTATTTTGATGTTCCGAGCATGCGAGCAAGTTTGTATAATATTTATGTACTTGTGTGGATGGTTGATGTTTGGTCTGAGGGGCTCAGGTGAGTTTCGAAATAATTTCGGAGTGTTTTGATTAGCTTCAGGTATTGTTGATGTTGCAGACCACGAATTTGCGGATGTCTACTCGTATTTGTGATGGTTTTATCGCATTTGGAGGAGGAGGGGGCAGTCCGGGGAGAACTCGTAATTGAGAGGAAGTTGGTCCATTTGCGACAGTGAGGGAGGCAGTTGCAACTTCTCATTTGCGAAGTAGTCACTGCATTTGCGATGGCGGACGTGGCAGTGGGTCTTCGAAGTTGCAAAATTCTTGGTCGCAATTGCGACATCCACTGGGTTTGGCAATATTCGCATTTGAGATCCATTGGTCGCATTTTTAAGGTCTCAAATTCGCAAATGCGACATCTGCTTCTCGTTTATAGCTAGCTATTTCGGGGTTTAGTTTTATTTAATCACATTCTGATACCTAGACATGGTGGGAGGCGATTGTTTGAAGGAGATTTTCATACATAGCAATTGGGTAAGTGATTTTCACTTAATTTTAATAATATAACTTGATTTCTTATGGATGTTACACTAAAATGATGGAATTTGAAAGGAATATTTGAGGATTTTTGACTATGTTTTAAAAAATAAAAATTGGGAATTTGAGACTCGATTTGGACTCGGTTTTAAAAATCAATCACATATTTGAACTCGTGGGATTATGGGTAGTGGAGATCTACGCCTCGACTTGGGTTTTGATCGGACGAGCCCGGAGCTGACTTTTGTTGACTTTTAGGGAATTGGGTAAAGATTGGGCTTTATTGTTTGGTATTGATTCCTTTAACATTGTTTAATGTTGTTAGGTCGTTTTTGGCTAAATTTAAGCCGGACGGAGGTGAATTTTCAAGGGAAAATATTTTTTGGAATATTGAATTGGCTTGTTTGAGGTAAGTATCTTGCCTAACCTTTGGGGGAATACCCCTTAGGATTTGACCTTAGTTGCCTATTTGTGTTATGTGATCGATATATGTCTCTTTAAGTTTCAAACATCCCAACTTCGTCAAACGTGTCTGAATCACACTTAGATATTCCGGATCACAACCAAACTTTGCACACAAGTTTCAATCAACTACCTAAAGAGGAATTTACATAGAATACAACCTTTCAAGGATTTATTTTAGTTTCCTACAACTACCTTTACAAAATTACTTTTAGTAAAATTTATTTTATTATGTACAACTTTTTATATCCTCAAATCTCTTTCTTAAGATTCTCTCTCACTTAAAAGATATCTCTTTTTAATTCTCTCTCACCTAAAATTTATCTATCCCTATCAATATTTTTCCCAATTTCTCCGGGAAAAGATATTCCAGTATATCACAAGCGTCTTTCGTTCTTTTCTTTGTTCCATATATTCTGTGCAAATAAAAATACATAAAAAATACATTGCTCAGAAAATCATGGACAGTGGTGATAGAGACTCCTCCAATTGCATCCCAAACCCTCTAATTATCTCTGTTAAGCGCATGCTATCTCCTCTAATTCCTTTGTTCTTCTTAACTGTGAAGGAAAATTTCTTATCACCCAACCTTTCTTCTACCCAAATTTTTATATTTTTTGTTATTTCAAAAATAATAGAGTAGCTTGAAGCTATATGAGAATATTACAACATTGCAGTGATGTGCTTGTATGAATCAATTTTGTTGGTGAATAATACCTTTAAGTAATAAACACTTTTAAGTAATGAAATTTAAGCAACAAACATTCATATTTTTTCCCCTTCAAAATAGGTAATGACACATTATATATACGTGTATCTACAACTTATGAATGTCCGTGTACTGTCATGGATGATTTTCCTTATAATTAAAAATTCATGTTAATGTTTATTTTTCCTTACAAATTACAACTAAGGTTCAAATAATACTTGGATTAAATATTTCTTTTGATATGATAAATCATGATGAATCGTAAATGCGAGCTGCATCAATACACGAAGAATGGAATATTCTTAATAGAATGGAGATAATTAGATTTGCATTATTGTGATAATATTTGATTGCTAGTTGATTTCCTTAATTAAAGGAATTCTACCACATTTATTGGGTTACATAATAAACTGGACGCTCATTAGTTATATAAACCGAATGCACTTATTTTGTACAAAACGTGAATCCAATAATAGTCGTAGATAATGGAATATACTCTTATAAAAGTTGCAGTTATGAAAATTTCCCATAAATAAATTTATCCAAAGTTCGAGAACACCAATGAGAACCCGATAATATTAAAGTCAACTCCCGGTTTCAAATTGCCAACTTCCGCAAATACAGCAAAAAGGAACCTCTAAATCCAAATCTGAATATGCGCCTAAGTTCAAAATCAGCGTACGAACTTATTGGAACCATCAAATCACCAATCCAAGGTCATCTACTCAAAAGTCAAATTTTGATCAACTCTCACAACTTAAGCTTCCAAAAAGAGACTAATTGCTTGAAATTACTCTCAAACATTCCCGAAACCAAATCAAGGATCCCCGCAAGTCATAAAATATCAGGTTAAACTATTAGCAATTGCAACATACGATTTTGGGAAAGAACATGGACTAGACCAATTAAAAACAATAAGCAAATTAAAGTCATGACACTTAATCCATGACTTCTTCGGGTTCAAGTAACACACAATCTTCTTGTGTGAAAACTTCAATTAAGATTGGGTGATGGTCGGTGGAACTGTTTCATCTCATCATCCATCATCTGTGTACTCTGAAGAAAGTGATGCGCAACATTCCAAATTAAGATTTCCTCCAGTACAGGTGCTGATGCCAATATAAATCTAACAAATTCCATTTCCACCTCAGCACCAGTAAAACAACTCATTTCCACTCTTTGAAGCAGCTTTGCAACACCACATGACGAGATTGATTGGGCTCGTAAGAATTGTACAACAGGTTCCACAACATTTCCCACTGAAACCTAATAGGTTATCAAGGCATATTCAATAACATGATTAATAGCAGAGTACTATCAATTGTAAGCTCTTGTAATTTTGGGCAGCTTGTAATCAAGTAAACAGCACCTGAAACCACCTCAACGTTTCTGAAAGACATGCCCGACATTCTTATAGATTTGACATGCTGAAGATCAAGACTAATAAGCTTCGAAACCGGGTGGAGGGTGGAACAAGCATTCACTAACTTCCAGATGCCTCAGTTCCTGGAACGTAAACAAGTGAGAAGGTAAATAATAGTATTTGTTGTCTGGCCACATGTTAAGGGTGAATTCCTGGACATTTTTCTTTGACAAGAAGAGTATCCAGTGATCAATATCCGGACAACTTTTCAAGTCGCCTCCAAGTTCAAACTTCAGTATTGGTCCTCTATGGAGTAGTAGGACTTGGTAAATGATTGCCTTGGCTTAATTCTTGAATTTCTTTGAAAAACTCATCACTAAAATCAAGTTCTTGACGTGTGACCCATTTGTACCTCCAGTCCTTTGACAATATACTGGTCTTCACTGCATCTTTCAAAGGCAAGCAGCCTAGAATCCCATCAACAACATTACAGGACAAATTGCTAATTGTAGCTTCACCAGATCTACTAGCACTCCTCATGGTCTAGTACTGACGAGTTAGCAGGCTACCCTGAAAATTAAAATCTGGGATAGAGGCAATATCCAAATTCTCATTAGTGTACACATTTCAACAATGTATGCATAGCTATAATAACTAGTAGTTCAACGTTTTCTATTACATAAAATATTAGCATTTTACCTATATCGGAGTTATTTTGGTAATGATGATGAAATGAGGATTCATGAAAGAGTTTGTTCAGTTATATCAGAGAGACAAAATCATGATACATGAAAGAGTACCAGGAAAGAACGTAGATTGGAGATAGCAGTGGTGCATACATGAATTTAATCAAGGAGGTTAAAGAAGTGCTCTCCTGTGTAAAATATACTCTATCTAATGATCATGTGGTTTTAGCAGATAAATGAAACTTAGAAGACCAAGAGTTATATAACATCTGAAAAAGAGAGCACCCAAGGGAGGTTAAAATTCTTAAAAGGAATACTCTCTCGTGTCATTTTAACTTCTTTAAGATGGCCCATTTATAAAGATAATTCATTCTCTCAAGATGAAAAAATTTATATTGGTGGTCATCCGAGTTATAAAATTATTCAGTAAAGTAATTGTTGTATTTTTTGGATGGTCATCCAAATATACCCAGATCCTCTAAAAAATAAATCTTTAGTTGGCATCCATTAATTTGACCCGTTTTCTGAGTTCATCTTATGCAACATTTTTTTATCCAAGAATAGTAGCTAACCGAGTTTGGTATATGTTCTATTTCTGGTGGAATATTGATTGTTATTCACGTAAATTAGCATTCACATCTCAAAGCTTAGGACAAAGAAACCAAAAAAGGATAATTTCTTATTATCGTGATCTTAGATTACTAGACTGTGACTAGAGACATGAACTTGCTTTACTGGACAAATAGATCTAGCAAACAAATAAAGAGCTACTCAATTTCTATTAATTTGTTGAGGTTGAAATTGAACATGGTAAGGTATGTATTTCTATGCAGAGGAGACGAAGAAACAGTACAGTCAGGCAAAAAAGCCAATCTTTCCAGATCATTAAGAGAACGATCAGAAATTTTAAGCTAAAAGTTGTTTACTAAAAGCTTATTGCAACTTTTCAGAAAAATCACAGAGATAAAGAGCTGACTGAGGAAGAGCGAAGGCCGAAGAAACTTAGCTCTAATTTTTGTACAAAATTTAAATCCTAACCTGCACCGGTCCCGCAACCACACAAAGTTTTATCTTTTTTTAATTACTTCCCGCACCGCATGTGTTTAAACCCGCATCGCTCCTCATGTGTCAAAACCCACACAGCCCATGTGCCATCTGTGGGGTCCATCCCCATAATAATAATAATAATAATAATAATAATAATAATAATAATAATAATAAAGAAGATAAGTTATATTCCAAATCTCCGAATCGATTTTGCCAAACAATTTGCAAGAATGCAAATTGGCAAGTTGCAGTTCAAATTGCAACTGAACCAATGCTCCTGATTGGTCAAGTGGGCGGCAACTTCACCCTATAAAAACAGGCTCTCGGCTTCTTCATTTAGAACACAGAGAAAGAGAAGCAACACAGTAGTTGCAGAGACTATTTCTCAAGCATTGTGAGAAATAGACTGTGTAGGGAAATAGAGAGTGTGAACAATATTATAGTGAGGTGAGAATCTTAAAAGAGGATTATTTCTTTTGAGTGTATAGTGGTCCCTGGAGTATTTTACTCGGACTACTGAGTATAAAATTCCTCATTATAGTGGATTACTTTGCTCCTCTCGGGCTCGTGGTTTTTTCCCTTATTCAGAAGGATTTTCCACGTTAAAATCTTTGTGTCCTTTTGTTGATTACCGTATCTCGGTACTATATTATTGTTCCGCTGTTATTACGGTAAATATTATTTTTGTGGGGGATTTATTCCCAACAACTGGTATCAGAGCACAGGTTCTGCTCGTTCACAGAAATACTATTCATTGTCGGTAGTACTATACTTGGTGAAAAATTAAAATGTCCGGAGTAAAGTACGAGGTAGAAAAATTCGACGGAGATAACAGTTTCTCAACATGGCAAAGAAGGATGAGGGATCTGCTCATCTAACAAGGATTACACAAGGTACTAGATGCTGATACCAAAAAGCCTAATACCATGAAAGCTGATGATTGGACTGACTTGGATAAAAGAGCTACTAGTGCAATCAGGTTGCACTTATCAGATGATGTGATAAATAACATCATTGATGAAGACACCTCACGTGGCATTTGGACAAGGTTGGAAAGCCTATACATGTCCAAAACATTGAGAAATAAATTGTACCTGAAGAAGCAGTTATACGCCCTACACATGGGTGAAGGTACAAATTTTTGTCACATTTAAATGTGTTTAATGAACTAATCACACAGCTCGCCAACCTCGGAGTGAAAATCGAGGAAGAAGATAAAGCCATCTTGTTATTGAACTCGTTGCCATCTTTGTATGATAATTTGACAACAACCATCCTGCATGGTAAGACCACCATTGAGTTAAAAGATGTCACATCAGCTCTTCTACTCAATGAGAAGAAGAGAAAGAAGCCTGAAAATCAAGGACAAGCTCTTATCACAGAAGGTAGAGGTAGGAGTTATCAAAGGAGTTCGAGCAACGATGGTAGATCCGGAGCTCGTGGGATGTCAAAGAACCGATCCAAATCAAGAGCCAGAAATTGCTACAATTGTGATCAACCAGGTCACTTCAAAAGAGATTGCCCAAATCCAAGGAAGGGCAAATGTGAAACCAGTGGCTAGAAGAATGACGACAACATAACCGCCATGGTGCAAAACAATGATAATGTTGTCCTCTTTATAAATGAGGAAGAGGAATGCATGTACCTGTCAGGTCCAGAGTCGGAATGGGTGGTTGACACAGTGGCATCTTACCATGTCATACCGGTAAGAGATCTTTTTTGCAGATATGTAGCAGGTGATTTTGGAACTGTGAGAATGGGTAACACAAGTTACTCAAAGATTGCGGGGATTGGTGACATTTGTATCAAGACAAATGTCGGATGCACATTGGTTCTAAAGAACGTGCGGCATGTACCTGATTTGCGAATGAACTTGATCTTGGAATTGCTTTAGACCGAGATGGATACGAGAACTATTTTGCGAATCAAAAGTGGAGACTCACCAAGGGATCATTGGTGATTGCAAAGAGAGTTGCTCGTGTCACGTTGTACAGGACAAATGTAGAAATATGCCAAGGTGAATTGAATGCGGTACAACATGAGATTTCTGCAGATTTGTGGCACAAAAGAATGGGTCATATGAGCAAGAAGGGATTGCAAATTCTTGCCAGGAAATCACTCATCTCTTTTGCCAAAGGTACAACAGTAAAACCTTGCTACTGTTTATTTGATAAGCAACATAGAGTCTCATTTCAGACATCGTCTGAAAGAAAATTGAATATGATTGATTTAGTGTATTCTGATATTTGTGGTTTAATGAAAATTAAATCGATGGGCGGTAACAAATATTTTGTTACTTTTATTGATGACGCTTCACGTAAACTGTAGGTTTATATCTTGAAAACCAAAGATCAGGTATTTCAAGTTTTCCAGAAATTCCATGCTCTGGTGGAAAGAGAGACGGGTCGAAAGCTAAAGCATCTCCGAAATGACAATGGAGGTGAGTACACTTCAAGAGAATTTGAAGAGTACTGTTCAAGTCATGGGATCAGACATGAAAAATAGTTCGTGGAACCCCACAGCACAATGGAATAGCCGAGAGGATGAACTGCACTATTGTTGAGAAGGTGAGAAGCATGCTCAGAATGGCTAAACTGCCTAAGTCATTCTGGGGTGAAGCAGTTCAGACAACCTGTTACCTTATCAATAGGAGTCCATCAGTTCCATTGGAGTTTGACATCCCACAGAGAGTATGGACCAACAAGGAGATGTCCTACTCACATCTGAAGGTGTTCGATTGCAGAGCTTTTGCACATGTACCAAAGGAGCAGAGAACAAAGTTGGATGATAAATCTGTTCCCTACATATTCATCGGATATGGAGATGAAGAGTTCGGGTACAGATTGTGGGATCCTGTAAAGAAGAAGGTCATTAGAAGCAGAGATGTAATCTTCCGAGAAAGTGAAGTTGGAGCTGTAGATGATCAGTCAGAGAAGACAAAGAATGGTATAATCCCTAACCTTGTTACCATTCCTTATTCTTCTAACTATCCCACAAGTGCAAAAAGTACGACCGACGAGGTTGCCGAGCAAAGAGAGAAACCTGGTGAGGTTATTGAGCAGGGGGAGCAACTTGATGATGATGTCGAGCAAGTGGAGTATCCCACTCAAGAAGAAGAACAACCTCAACCTCTGAGGAGATCAGAGAGGCCACGGGTAGAGTCATGCAGGTACCCTTCCATGGAGTATGTCCTCATCAGTGATGAGGGGGAGCCAGAAAGTCCTAAGAAGGTGTTGTCCCATCCAGAAAAGAATCAGTGGATGAAAGTTATGCAAGAAGAGATGGAATCTTTACAAAAAATGGCACCTACAAGCTGGTTGAACTTCCAAAGGGTAAAAGACCACTCAAATGTAAGTAACTCAAGAAAGATGGAAACGGCAAGCTGGTTAGACACAAAGCTCGATTGGTGGTTAAAGGCTTCGAACGAAAGAAAAGTATTGATTTTGATGAAATTTTCTCACCTGTTGTCAAAATGACTTCTATTCGTACAATCTTGAGCTTAGCAACTAGCCTAGATCTTGAAGTGGAGCAGTTGGATGTGAAAATTGCATTTCTTCACGGAGATTTAGAAGAGGGGATCTATATGGAGCATCCAGAAGGATTTGAAGTAGCTGAAAGGAAACACATGGTGTGCAAACTGAATAAGAGTCTTTATGGGTTGAAGCAGGCACCAAGGCAGTGGTACAAGAAGTTTGACTCATTCATGAAAAGTCAAACTTACATAAAGACATATTCTGATCCATGTGTATACTACAAAAGATTTTTTGATAACAACTTTATTATATTGTTGTTGTATGTGGATGACAT